AATGTAGAGAGTGCCATGTGCACCCTTCTCGTGCAGTGAGTTGTATTTTGAGGCGCCTCAATACAAAATACACCTCACTGCACGCAATGTAGAGAGTGCCATGTGCACCCTTCTCGTGCAGTGAGTTGTATTTTGAGGCGCCTCAATACAAAATACACCTCACTGCACGCAATGTAGAGAGTGCCATGTGCACCCTTCTCGTGCAGTGAGTTGTATTTTGAGGCGCCTCAATACAAAATACACCTCACTGCACGCAATGTAGAGAGTGCCATGTGCACCCTTCTCGTGCAGTGAGTTGTATTTTGAGGCGCCTCAATACAAAATACACCTCACTGCACGCAATGTAGAGAGTGCCATGTGCACCCTTCTCGTGCAGTGAGTTGTATTTTGAGGCGCCTCAATACAAAATACACCTCACTGCACGCAATGTAGAGAGTGCCATGTGCACCCTTCTCGTGCAGTGAGTTGTATTTTGAGGCGCCTCAATACAAAATACACCTCACTGCACGCAATGTAGAGAGTGCCATGTGCACCCTTCTCGTGCAGTGAGTTGTATTTTGAGGCGCCTCAATACAAAATACACCTCACTGCACGCAATGTAGAGAGTGCCATGTGCACCCTTCTCGTGCAGTGAGTTGTATTTTGAGGCGCCTCAATACAAAATACACCTCACTGCACGCAATGTAGAGAGTGCCATGTGCACCCTTCTCGTGCAGTGAGTTGTATTTTGAGGCGCCTCAATACAAAATACACCTCACTGCACGCAATGTAGAGAGTGCCATGTGCACCCTTCTCGTGCAGTGAGTTGTATTTTGAGGCGCCTCAATACAAAATACACCTCACTGCACGCAATGTAGAGAGTGCCATGTGCACCCTTCTCGTGCAGTGAGTTGTATTTTGAGGCGCCTCAATACAAAATACACCTCACTGCACGCAATGTAGAGAGTGCCATGTGCACCCTTCTCGTGCAGTGAGTTGTATTTTGAGGCGCCTCAATACAAAATACACCTCACTGCACGCAATGTAGAGAGTGCCATGTGCACCCTTCTCGTGCAGTGAGTTGTATTTTGAGGCGCCTCAATACAAAATACACCTCACTGCACGCAATGTAGAGAGTGCCATGTGCACCCTTCTCGTGCAGTGAGTTGTATTTTGAGGCGCCTCAATACAAAATACACCTCACTGCACGCAATGTAGAGAGTGCCATGTGCACCCTTCTCGTGCAGTGAGTTGTATTTTGAGGCGCCTCAGTACAAAATACACCTCACTGCACGCAATGTAGAGAGTGCCATGTGCACCCTTCTCGTGCAGTGAGTTGTATTTTGAGGCGCCTCAATACAAAATACACCTCACTGCACGCAATGTAGAGAGTGCCATGTGCACCCTTCTCGTGCAGTGAGTTGTATTTTGAGGCGCCTCAATACAAAATACACCTCACTGCACGCAATGTAGAGAGTGCCATGTGCACCCTTCTCGTGCAGTGAGTTGTATTTTGAGGCGCCTCAATACAAAATACACCTCACTGCACGCAATGTAGAGAGTGCCATGTGCACCCTTCTCGTGCAGTGAGTTGTATTTTGAGGCGCCTCAATACAAAATACACCTCACTGCACGCAATGTAGAGAGTGCCATGTGCACCCTTCTCGTGCAGTGAGTTGTATTTTGAGGCGCCTCAATACAAAATACACCTCACTGCACGCAATGTAGAGAGTGCCATGTGCACCCTTCTCGTGCAGTGAGTTGTATTTTGAGGCGCCTCAATACAAAATACACCTCACTGCACGCAATGTAGAGAGTGCCATGTGCACCCTTCTCGTGCAGTGAGTTGTATTTTGAGGCGCCTCAATACAAAATACACCTCACTGCACGCAATGTAGAGAGTGCCATGTGCACCCTTCTCGTGCAGTGAGTTGTATTTTGAGGCGCCTCAATACAAAATACACCTCACTGCACGCAATGTAGAGAGTGCCATGTGCACCCTTCTCGTGCAGTGAGTTGTATTTTGAGGCGCCTCAATACAAAATACACCTCACTGCACGCAATGTAGAGAGTGCCATGTGCACCCTTCTCGTGCAGTGAGTTGTATTTTGAGGCGCCTCAATACAAAATACACCTCACTGCACGCAATGTAGAGAGTGCCATGTGCACCCTTCTCGTGCAGTGAGTTGTATTTTGAGGCGCCTCAATACAAAATACACCTCACTGCACGCAATGTAGAGAGTGCCATGTGCACCCTTCTCGTGCAGTGAGTTGTATTTTGAGGCGCCTCAATACAAAATACACCTCACTGCACGCAATGTAGAGAGTGCCATGTGCACCCTTCTCGTGCAGTGAGTTGTATTTTGAGGCGCCTCAATACAAAATACACCTCACTGCACGCAATGTAGAGAGTGCCATGTGCACCCTTCTCGTGCAGTGAGTTGTATTTTGAGGCGCCTCAATACAAAATACACCTCACTGCACGCAATGTAGAGAGTGCCATGTGCACCCTTCTCGTGCAGTGAGTTGTATTTTGAGGCGCCTCAATACAAAATACACCTCACTGCACGCAATGTAGAGAGTGCCATGTGCACCCTTCTCGTGCAGTGAGTTGTATTTTGAGGCGCCTCAATACAAAATACACCTCACTGCACGCAATGTAGAGAGTGCCATGTGCACCCTTCTCGTGCAGTGAGTTGTATTTTGAGGCGCCTCAATACAAAATACACCTCACTGCACGCAATGTAGAGAGTGCCATGTGCACCCTTCTCGTGCAGTGAGTTGTATTTTGAGGCGCCTCAATACAAAATACACCTCACTGCACGCAATGTAGAGAGTGCCATGTGCACCCTTCTCGTGCAGTGAGTTGTATTTTGAGGCGCCTCAATACAAAATACACCTCACTGCACGCAATGTAGAGAGTGCCATGTGCACCCTTCTCGTGCAGTGAGTTGTATTTTGAGGCGCCTCAATACAAAATACACCTCACTGCACGCAATGTAGAGAGTGCCATGTGCACCCTTCTCGTGCAGTGAGTTGTATTTTGAGGCGCCTCAATACAAAATACACCTCACTGCACGCAATGTAGAGAGTGCCATGTGCACCCTTCTCGTGCAGTGAGTTGTATTTTGAGGCGCCTCAATACAAAATACACCTCACTGCACGCAATGTAGAGAGTGCCATGTGCACCCTTCTCGTGCAGTGAGTTGTATTTTGAGGCGCCTCAATACAAAATACACCTCACTGCACGCAATGTAGAGAGTGCCATGTGCACCCTTCTCGTGCAGTGAGTTGTATTTTGAGGCGCCTCAATACAAAATACACCTCACTGCACGCAATGTAGAGAGTGCCATGTGCACCCTTCTCGTGCAGTGAGTTGTATTTTGAGGCGCCTCAATACAAAATACACCTCACTGCACGCAATGTAGAGAGTGCCATGTGCACCCTTCTCGTGCAGTGAGTTGTATTTTGAGGCGCCTCAATACAAAATACACCTCACTGCACGCAATGTAGAGAGTGCCATGTGCACCCTTCTCGTGCAGTGAGTTGTATTTTGAGGCGCCTCAATACAAAATACACCTCACTGCACGCAATGTAGAGAGTGCCATGTGCACCCTTCTCGTGCAGTGAGTTGTATTTTGAGGCGCCTCAATACAAAATACACCTCACTGCACGCAATGTAGAGAGTGCCATGTGCACCCTTCTCGTGCAGTGAGTTGTATTTTGAGGCGCCTCAATACAAAATACACCTCACTGCACGCAATGTAGAGAGTGCCATGTGCACCCTTCTCGTGCAGTGAGTTGTATTTTGAGGCGCCTCAATACAAAATACACCTCACTGCACGCAATGTAGAGAGTGCCATGTGCACCCTTCTCGTGCAGTGAGTTGTATTTTGAGGCGCCTCAATACAAAATACACCTCACTGCACGCAATGTAGAGAGTGCCATGTGCACCCTTCTCGTGCAGTGAGTTGTATTTTGAGGCGCCTCAATACAAAATACACCTCACTGCACGCAATGTAGAGAGTGCCATGTGCACCCTTCTCGTGCAGTGAGTTGTATTTTGAGGCGCCTCAATACAAAATACACCTCACTGCACGCAATGTAGAGAGTGCCATGTGCACCCTTCTCGTGCAGTGAGTTGTATTTTGAGGCGCCTCAATACAAAATACACCTCACTGCACGCAATGTAGAGAGTGCCATGTGCACCCTTCTCGTGCAGTGAGTTGTATTTTGAGGCGCCTCAATACAAAATACACCTCACTGCACGCAATGTAGAGAGTGCCATGTGCACCCTTCTCGTGCAGTGAGTTGTATTTTGAGGCGCCTCAATACAAAATACACCTCACTGCACGCAATGTAGAGAGTGCCATGTGCACCCTTCTCGTGCAGTGAGTTGTATTTTGAGGCGCCTCAATACAAAATACACCTCACTGCACGCAATGTAGAGAGTGCCATGTGCACCCTTCTCGTGCAGTGAGTTGTATTTTGAGGCGCCTCAATACAAAATACACCTCACTGCACGCAATGTAGAGAGTGCCATGTGCACCCTTCTCGTGCAGTGAGTTGTATTTTGAGGCGCCTCAATACAAAATACACCTCACTGCACGCAATGTAGAGAGTGCCATGTGCACCCTTCTCGTGCAGTGAGTTGTATTTTGAGGCGCCTCAATACAAAATACACCTCACTGCACGCAATGTAGAGAGTGCCATGTGCACCCTTCTCGTGCAGTGAGTTGTATTTTGAGGCGCCTCAATACAAAATACACCTCACTGCACGCAATGTAGAGAGTGCCATGTGCACCCTCCCCCTCCTCCTCCCCTTCCCTTTGTCTCTCTCTAGGCTTGGCCTGGACATCGGAGGAGGCACAGGCAGTTTGCAGTGCACATGGCACTCTCTACATTGCGACCATTCTGACCACATGCCTCCCCTCCCCCTCCTCCTGTCCCATTTTCCCTTACCCCGTGGCTGCAGGCTCGGTCTGGACATTGGCGGTGGCACAGGGAGCTTTGCGGCGCACATGGCCCTTTACAACGTGACCATCCTCACCACGTGCCTCCCCTTCCTTCCACTCTTCACCCCACCTCCAATCTGTAGGCTTGGCTTGGACATAGGCGGTGGCACAGGCAGCTTCGCTGCACACATGGCCCTCTACAATGTGACCATCCTCACCACGGCGATGAACGTGGAGACCGTGGTGGGGCGCAAGCAGGGGCTGCCCTACATGGAGGCCATCGCTCTAAGGGGACTCATTCCCCTGCACCTGCCACACAAGGTGGGTGGGTGGGTTGTGGGCTGTGGGCTGTGTGGTGTGGGCTGTAAACCTTGGCACCATCCTCACGACGGCGATGAACGTGGAGACAGTGGTGGGGCGCAAGCAGGGACTGCCATACATGGAGGCAATTGCTCTAAGAGGGCTCATTCCTCTCCATTTGCCACACAAAGTGAGTGGGCTATGGGCTTTGGGCTGTAGGGTGTGCGCTGTTTGCGAAGAGCCTTGCGACCATCCTCACCACGGCGATGAACGTGGAGACAGTGGTGGGGCGCAAGCAGGGGCTGCCATACATGGAGGCGATTGCCTTGAGAGGACTGATTCCCCTGCATTTGCCACACAAGGTGAGTGGGTTGCTGTGTGCTGTGTGGCATGCGCTGCCCTCTGTACCCTACAAACATGGCCCTCTACAGCGTGATCACTGCCCATCCTCACCACGGCCATGAATGTGGAGACAGTGGTGGGGCGCAAGCAGGGGCTGCCCTACATGGAAACCATTGCCTTGAGAGGGCTCATCGGTCTCCATTTGCTACGCAAGGTGGATGTGCTGTTGTCTCCTTCCCTTTCTCCTCTCCTCATTTCCCCTCTCTCCCTGTCCTCCCATCAGGCCCGCCTACCCTTCTTCGACGGCGCGTTGGACATCATTCACAGCGTCAACAGCGTCAAGTGGCCCTCTTTCCTTCCTCCTTTCTCCCCGCTCTCTGTGTCTCCCATCAGGCTCGTCTACCCTTCTTCGACGGCGCGTTGGACATCATTCACAGCGTCAACAGCGTCAAGTACCATCTCCCTCTCTCCATGATCCATCCCCCCTCCTACCATTCCCTCTCTCGCCCGTTCCCCCTCATCAGGCCCGCCTGCCCTTCTTTGACGGCGCATTGGACATCATTCACAGCGTCAACAGCGTCAAGTACCTGCCCATGCTGGAGTTTGAAGAGATGCTCTTTGAGTGGGACCGCGTGCTCAGAGTTGGTAAGTCCTTTTGCTGGTAACCATGTGGTAACCATGTGGTAACCGTGTCATCCCATGCACTCCGCAGCATCAACAGCGTCAAGTACCTGCCCGTGGTGAAGTTTGAAGAGATGCTCTTCGAGTGGGACCGTGTGTTACGAGTTGGTGAGTCTTTACATCGGTAACCATGTGTTAACGAAGTGGTAACCAAGTGGTAACCATGGGTATCATTCCCTTAACAGAACAGTGTGATCAGTGTCAAGTACCCATGGTTACACTGATGGCCATGCTCGAACATTGAAGGGATGCTCTTCGAGTGGGAGGGACTGTGTGCTCAGAGTTGGTAAATTCTTCACAGTACCTTGCCATATGGTAACCGTACGTGTGGTATGCACTTGGTAGTGTCAACAGCGTTGAAGAGCTGCTCTTCGAGTGGGACCGCGTGCTAAGAGTCGGTGAGTCCTTACATTGGTAACCAAGTGGTAACCGTGTTACAACCATTCCCTTCACAGCGTCAACAGCGTCAAGTACCTGCCCATGCTCGATTTTGAAGAGCTGCTTTTTGAGTGGGACCGCGTGCTCAGAGTCAGTGAGCCTTTTTAGAAACCTCCTTATGCTGGTAACCATTCAGACTTGAATGGGGTGGTGCGACTAGATGGAGGATGGGATTAGGTTGCGCCTCTGGACGAGTCCCCAGTGTATGTCGCCATTCTCAATCTCCTCGGCTATAACCGACTGCTCCAGGGTGTTTTTGAGAATTCTCAAAAGGGTGTTTTTGAGAATTCTCAAAAGCCCCTTGTCGCCATTTTCAATCTCCTCAGCTATAACCGACTGCACTGGCGTGTAGAGGGACATAAGGGGCCTTGCGTGCGCTCTCCTCCTTACCCCTCTCGCTCCCAGGTAGTGTCGATTGGCTCCTCCAGACCCAGCAGAACGCAAGGGGCCTCATGTGTACCTGAATTGGCGGCGTGTGCTGCCAAAGCCAAAAGACCTGAAGGATTCAAAAGGGCCTCATGTTTATCCCCCTTCCCTTGTTTACCCCCTTCCCCCCTGTCGCTCCTAGGAGGTGTCATCTGGGTGGAGATGTTTTACGCGCCTCTAGACGAGTTCCCGGTCTACGTTGCTATCCTCAATCTCCTCGGCTACAACCGCCTGCACTGGCGTGTGCTGCCCTCCACTTCCCTCCCCTGCCCTCCCCCACCTTCAGGTGGTGTGATCTGGCTGGAGATGTTCTACGCCCCTCTGGACGAGTTCCCAGTGTATGTCGCCATCCTGAACCTTCTCAGCTACAACCGCCTGCACTGGCGCGTGCTGCCCAAACCAGACCCGGGGGAACGCAAGGGGCCTCATGTGTACCTGAATTGCCTGCTGGAGAAACCGGTTAGACGAGAAGAGGGGTGGGTGGAGGCTGGGAGGAGGGAGGAAGGGCGAGGAGAGGAGGAGGGGGGGAGAGTAGTTGGGGGGAGGGAAGGGGGGACGAGTGAGGATACGGGAGGGAAGGAGGGAATGGAGAGAGAAGTGGGGGGAAGGGAGGAAGGAGGAAGAAGAGAGGAGGGGAGAGGAGAGGGTTCGAGTAATCATCGTTCAGAGGGAGACGTTGAGCAAGGAAGGAGGATTGAAGGGGCGGGCATAGGAAACGGAAGCAGGCAAGGAGGGGCTGAGGAGGACGGAAAAGGGGATGAGGGGAATGGGAAGATGGAGAGGAATGAGGAGGAGAGGAAACTAGAGGCGGTGAAGGAAGAATCAAATAGAATTGAAGAGCGTGGACGAGAGGAGGAGAGGAGAGAGGAGAGAAGAGAAAGGAGAAGAGAATATGGGAGCGAAGAGTGGAATGAAGAGGTGATTGAAGAGGCGGGGACGAGCATGGAGAAATTCGCAAGAGAGTGGTACAGGGAGGAAGGGGCAGCAAGGGAGGAAGGGACAGCCAGGGGGGAAGGGAGTGCCAGGGAGGAAGGGGCAGTCAGGGAGGACGAGACTCAAACAGCCAAAGAAAAGGCGGAACGTCAGCGCTTGCTTGCAAGGTTGCAGCAGACGAGGGAGAGGAAGGCGTGGTGGCGGTGGTTCGGAAGATGACTCTGGCTGGGGGAAGGAGCTCTTTAGAGTCCATCGAGACCTCATTGTTCATGGAGAACCCAGGGCCGTCGTGGTGTGAGGAAGCTTATGCGGATGGAGGGAGAGGAAGGCATGGTGGCGGTGGTTCGGAAGATGACTCTGGCTGGGGGAAGGAGCTCTTTAGAGTCCATCGAGACCTCATTGTTCATGGAGAACCCAGGGCCGTCGTGGTGTGAGGAAGCTTATGCGGATGGAGGGAGAGGAAGGCATGGTGGCGGTGGTTCGGAAGATGACTCTGGCTGGGGGAAGGAGCTCTTTAGAGTTCATCGAACATCCTAGGATGGATGGAGCATCCAAGGGTGGAGAATCCAAGGATGGAGCATCCAAGGTCATCGTGGTTTTTGAGACGTCTCAAAAGAGGAAGAGTGCAAGGGATGGAGGGAGAGGAAGGCGTGGTGGCGGTGGTTCGGAAGGTGACTCTGGGGGAAGAAGCCCTTTAGAGTTCATCGAGACTTCTGTGTTCGTCAAAATGCCAGGGCCGTCGTGGTGACAGGAGGATTTTGCGGATGCCGAGCTTGGTGGTGGCAGTGGTTGAGAAGATTACTCTGGGTGATGGCGAGAGAGGAACTTGGCATCAAGAAGATGATCTGAAAGGGGGAAGGAGGAGCCCTTTAGAGTCCATGGAGAACCCAGGGCCATTGTGGTGAGAGGAAGATGCAGGGGATGGCGAGAGAGGAGGTTGGCGGTGGCGGTGGTTCGGAAGATGATTCCAGGGGGAGAAGCCCGTCAGCGTTCATCGAGACTTCAGTGTTCATCAAGACTTCAGTGGTCATCAAGAATCCAGGGCCATTGTGGTGCGAGGAAGATGCAGGGGGTGGCGAGAGAGGTGCTTGGTGGTGGCGGTGGTTCAGGCGGTGACTCTGGGCAGAATCCTTTTCTAAGTCCATCAGGAAGCAGAATGTACCTGTGCAGCTGATGAGGAGATGACTTTTGAGTCGACTCAAACGTCGCCTGAGTCCATCCAGAAGCAGAATGCATCTGTGCAGATCATGAGGAGATGACTTTTGAGTCAACTCAAACGTCGCCTGAGTCCATCCAGAAGCAGCTAATGGAGGGAGTTTTTTTGTGGTGCACTGCGTCGGTCTTTTGTGCTGCAGAAACCAGTTCAGGTGAGAAGGGGGAGGGGAGGGGAGGGGGGGGCAGGGGGTGGGCTAGGAGGTTTGTGAGGCATTTCAAATGTCGTCTCTTGAGGCCTCGCTTGAGGGAGGTGATGGGCTAGGTAGCTTTTGAGGACTCTCAGACGGGACAGGGAGGAAGTGAAGAGAGAGGAGAGTACGAGAGGACAGGGAAAGGGGTGGGACCGGGAGGAAGCGAAGGGAGAGGAGAGTATGGGAGAATGAGGTGAGGTGGGAAGAGGGCTAGGCTAGGTTGTTTTGGTGTAGTGCCCTGTCCTGAGAGATCCCCAAGGATCAGAATATCACACAAAGGCAGCTTCAAAGAGATGTTCAAGAGTATCCATACTACAGTTGGTTATAAGGAAAATATTAATATGCAGAGGATGAGGTAGCTTCAGTGTGGTATATTTAGTCTGCCTGCCCCCTTGTTTGGTGTCTGTGTGTAGAGGTGAATGGAGCATGTGTTACCCAGCCTATCGAAGGATGTGCTTACTTGATGGCAATTCATGGTTTTGTGCGTGTGTGGGCATGTGCAGGTAGGGAGCTCTTACCAAACTGGGAGCTCCTTTACATTGGAAACTTTGGTTCTATGTATCACGAGGATGGATTGGATTGCGGAAACAGACGTTAAGTTGTTCGGGTTGAATAATCTTGCAAACTCGGTGGGGTCATATTACTCTCATACCGAGCTCATGGCATATTTGGAAAATCAATGGTGAAGGGTAAGGTTTATATGACAATCCTGAACTAGTGTCAATATGCCAGTGGAAAGGTCTGCAAGTTCTGGTGGTTGAGCATTCCACACAACATGTATAAAGGCCAAAATCACACATCAACATCTTTTGAAACGACAATAACGAGCAAAGCTCGCCACACAAACACTAGCACCGTCGCAATCGCTCGCAAGTCGCTCTCCTGGGTCGCTTCGCTTCTCGTGCAGCGTTGTCGCGCTCCTAGTGCGACGACGTGGCGAAAAATGCGCGCAGCTGCACGAGGTGGCTGGTTGCACAAAAGGACACGGTCGAGGTAGGATACCCGGTTACTAAGAAACCCGACGACATGCCTGATTCCCGATTTTCGAAAGAACACAATGCGCTTGTGGGGCTTCGATTTATTTCCTTCCTACTCTGGTGCATGTACTATTATTTCCCCTAAGTCGGCTCTGGCGTTATGCTACCATGCCAAATGACATATGCCGTTTTTGCCACCATCACAGGGACTGCAGCAACAGTGTTTGCAGTTCCTGTCAAGCAGCGCGGAAGGACTTACTTGACAAAGTCGCGCAATCTGAGCTCCGAGCGAAAGAAGCCGAAGCGAAACTAGTCAAGCTCAAATACTTCGTTCGGAAAGTCAAGGAAATGCGAGACGCGGCATTTTGCGACGTAACACTGCGACCACGCGAAGGAGAAGCTATTGAAGCTCATCGCTGCATTATAGCAACATGGTATGTTACTGAATTCTCGTCCTGAGCGATAAGTTTACTTGCTCGTCCTCCTGGTATACCCTCCTCTTTATGAGCTGTACGTTCTCTCAGCGGGCTCACAAGAGTTGTGATTTGCGCCGAGGTTACCACAGGGACACCACAGGGACTCCTGGATGGAGCCCCCTGGGTTACCCACAGCGAAGTAACCTGGGAAAAACCTGGAGGTAGGGTTTGGGAACCCAATTTTTGGGATGTATGCGTTTGGTACCCGTGTAGGTCACCAGTTTTCGCGAAAATGTTCAGCAGTGGCTTGCAAGAAGAGTCGAAGAGCTCCGTTCACATACAGGATACAGACGGTCCTACGTTAGAGAAGCTGATTTTTTTCATGTATTCTGGCGATTTACCTCTGAAAACTGCAGCCATGCCGGTGAGTTTACAGACATTGAGCTGGATTAGGTTTGACCTGTCAATGGAATAGAAATTAGTGTTTTGTTCCATGTAGTTGCCGCTTCTCTGACTTCTATTTTCCTCCCTATGCGGTGCAGGAAATTTAACTGCTAGTGGCTGCGGATAAATATCAAGTTTTAGAGCTCAAGGAGCACTTGTGTTTAACTTTGTGCGGATCCCTAGATAATGACATTGTGTTTGAGGCATTCAGAGTAGCTGACATGCACGACGCCCCTTCAGTGCGGCAAGCTTGTGCAGATTACATTCTCAAGAAAATGGATCGAAAAGCAAGCTCCACTGTTATAATGGTAAGTACAAACCTTTATAGAAAGCTTATAGAGCTGATTCTTTTTTCACCTGTGGTTATAATTGTTTGCATTTGCGTTGTGTGCAGGAAATGCTGCTTGGGGAAGACCCGCAGAGCAAGAGACTGGCAGCTGAGCTTCTGGAGAGAGGGTGGCTGAATACATGACGTGCAAAAATGCATAGCGGAGCTTTGAGATCGCTTCAGCTGTCAGCGAGTCAGCACAGCAGGCTCTGGCCTGTAGTATAACACTCATTCACTGGATTTTCCTCTCTCAAGGCGAATGCAGTGAGAAATAACGTGACCACCACTGACCAGCAGCCCAAGAATATTTAATTGTAAATCATATGGTGCATACATTATGGTTTTTTGTGCTAGTACCATTCAAATGTGCTTGCATTCTCCAATTTTTGTGTGCCTGTGTCAAATGTTGAACATTGATACGTATGATAGGCTGTAGTGAGTTGCACTCTAGGGGGTACAGTTTCTAGGGTTGCTTATTTGTACCCCACTCGTTTCTATTCCCAACATTCCGTTGCTAACCACTCTTGAGATGGTATCAGAGCAGGACCGTTCCTAGCCCGTTCCTAGCCTAGTGTTCACCCTCCGCGCCCTCCGCGCCTAGCTCGCGCCCTCCGCGCCCTCCGCGCTTAGCTCGCACCTCCACACCCATTGTGCCTCCGCGCCTAAACCGCGCCACTCCACCCTCCGCGCCTAGCCCGCGCCCTGCCCCTAGCCCGCGCGACGCCCGTAGGCTCTGCCCCAGCCCGTCGCGACGCCCGTAGGCTCTGCCCCAGCCCGTCGCGACGCCCCTAGGCTCTGCCCCAGCCCGTCGCGACGCCCCTAGGCTCTGCCCCAGCCCGTCCCGACGCCCGTAGGCTCTGCCCCAGCCCGTCGCGACGCCCGTAGGCTCTGCCCCAGCCCGTCGCGACGCCCGTAGGCTCTGCCCCAGCCCGTCGCGACGCCCGTAGGCTCTGCCCCAGCCCGTCGCGACGCCCGTAGGCTCTGCCCCAGCCCGTCGCGACGCCCGTAGGCTCTGCCCCAGCCCGTCGCGACGCCCGTAGGCTCTGCCCCAGCCCGTCGCGGCGCCCGTGTGCCCTGCCCGTTGCCCACGCGCGGCCCGTACACCCTAGCCCGTCGCCCCAGCCTTCGACCTAGCCCGTATTCCCACCGTCAAACCGCCCTCCCCGCCCATTCCCACCGTCAAAACCGCCCTCCCGCCCATTCCCACCGTCAAAACCGCCCTCCCGCCCATTCCCACCGTCAAAACCGCCCTACCCGCCCATTCCCACCGTCAAAACCGCCCTCCCCGCCCATTTCCACCGTCGCAAACTCCCCCCCCGCCCCTCTCTTCCTGTTACCCACCCTTGGCACGCGCCCTAGCCCCGCCACCGCCTTGTGCGCGGGGCCCTCCCCAGCTCTACTGACACCGGTCTATCACCTAGCGGCTGGCAGCCGCTCTCTCTCGCCGCCCGCCTAGGTTCGAGCCGTTTAGCCGCTAGTATCGCGCCCCTAGCCGTTGTAGCTGGAGATCCTCCGTTTCACGCCTAGCCTAGGTCACTCAGTGCTCCTAGCCTCTCACTCCGCCGTTCTCCCTCCTGGCGCTCCGTAGGTTTCCTCCTCGTTCTTAGCTCAGCCTCTGCCGAGCTCCAGCCGCCTCTAGCATGGCATCAGTCATGGAGTCTCGTCGCCTCCGTTTCGACGCGGAGGGACGCCCGATAGAGTTTAGCACCTGGCAGCGCCAGACCACGCGCTTCCTCACCAGCCAGCGGCAGGACGGCGCCACTCTGTGGGCTCACGCGTCTGGTGCCCTACAGGCCCCCCCGTCCCCCGCCGCCCTGCCGACCGCCCCGGAGCCGACCCCTACGGCCCAGGCGGACTACGACCGTCGGGTCCTGGCCAGGGACGTGTGGCTCTCGCGTGACGCAGCCGCCGCTCTCACTCTATCGGAGCTTCTCCCCCCGACTGAGGCCGCCCACTTTGACCAGGT